TCCCTCTAGCTGTAAAAGCTCCTGGCTCCTCCCTCTCCCTCCCAGTGTAGCATATAGGACTAGCCGCCTCTGTTACATGGTATAGGAATGCAGAGGGTGTCAGGCAGACACTCAGCACTGAGCACCCCTAAAAATTTGGCACCCAGGGCAACCGCCCCCATCCCACACACACACACTTTGATGTAAATGTATGCACTTGGGAGCTAAAAACATGCATGCAACATACTGTTTAAAAGGGGCCCCTCTGGGTAAATCTGTGATGGAAAAAGATGTAGGGTCCTTGTAGATCACAGACTTTACAACAACATGCAATGCCAATCTGCAGCTAACAGTTTCCCGGACTCTGTTGCCTCTCCTATAGGCCTGGGACCGGCTTTTTTGGGGTCAGCGGGAAGCTGGGGAGGAGATGGACGAACCTCCGTTTGTCGATCCCCTCCCCGTTCTATGGGACCGATTGCACCACGTCCGGTCCCATAGCAGTCAGTGCTGGGCATCTGAAGCCCAGCTACAAGCTATTGAAGTGTGATCTGCACTTCAATAGCTTATTTGGAGTGTACAGGTGACACTGGGGGTCTTTTGGACCCCCAGCATCACCCTAAAGAGTACCTGTCACCACCATCTGCTATCACATGGGGGGCTTGTAAGCCCCCCCCCCCCATGTGATAGCAAATGAAGTAAAAAAAATAACAGTTTTTAAAATTAACAGTAAATAAAATAAATCGAAAAATAATTTAAATTTTTTTTAAATGTCCCCACGAGCACGCACGTCTTCACGTAAACACGCGTCTGGTGCGCCTACGTATGAAAACGACAAACGCGCTACACATGTTGGGTATTGTCATGCACGCCGAAGTGACAGCAATAATTCTAGGGCATCTCTAAACTGATGACCTGTGTTATCTATGGACTTTTTGGGGTACTGAATTTTGTTGACGTTTCACGAACGCACACAATTTTTAACCTGGGCATGTTGGGTATCTGTTTACTCATTATAACCTCATCTTTTATATTTTATTAAACAATTGGTATTTTATTGTGTTTTGGGGCATTTAAGTACATTTTTCACTAAATTATGGGGTTTGATAAGGAGTTGCGCTAATATCGTGCAACATAAAAATCTGCAACTGCCAACATTTTATTCTATAGGGTCTTGGCTTTTAGTATATATATAATGTTTGGGGGTTTTAAGTAATTTTCAGGCCTAAAATGTGGAATATAACATGGGTGCAAAAAAAAAAAGAAAGATGAATGGGGTTAATCACTAATAATGCAGACCTAGTTGAGCACATAGAAATTAGGGATACATTGGGTAATAGTGATCACAGGATGATTAATTTTAATGTTGGGTACAGAAAAGAGAGGTGTGTAGGTCTGACAAGAACGCTACATTTCAGAAAGGCAGACTTTGATAAGCTGCGTCATCTAGTGCAGCGGTCGCCAACCGGTGGTCCACAAGAAAATGTTGGTGGTTCCCCAGGCCCCTCTGATGCCCTGCAGGCTGGGCCATCATTGAAGCGCCACGGAGGCTCCAGAGCTGCCTCTCACTGACTCAAGCAGGGGCTGTCACAAGGAATGAGAGCGGCTCTCAGTACAGTGTGGGCTCTGCTGGAGGTGGGGTATCTCATCAGTACATGAACTGAGCAGGCTGCGGGACATAGAAAAAGTGACGAGAAGTCAGGTAACAGTGGCTCAGTGTGGGGGAAGGGGAGGCACGAGGGTGGTTGGGGGCAGTGCTAAAGCTAGGGGGGGTATGTGCCCCGGGCGCCGCCGGCAGGGCCAGTGGCAGATTCGATGGGGGGGGGGGACACAATTAATATTATTACTGGGCCGGGGCGGGCAGCACCGCTCCCTCCCTCCACCAGCACTGCCACTCCTGCAGGCGCACTAGCACCTATGTATGTATGTGTATATATACTGTATGCAAATATAAATATATTCTCATATTTTTTGTTTCCTCATATATAAGTATACACACACACACACAAGAATATATTTATATATGAGGAAACAAAAAATACGAGTATATATATTTTTCAAAAATTCATATTAGTGGTCCGCGGGATTTAAAATTTTGAATTTAGAGGTCCATGAGGTCCGAAAGGTTGGCGACCGCTGATCTAGTGTATGACACTAAATGGGACAACTTAATTCTAACAATGAACACTGATGAGAAGGGGGATTGTTTCAAGAATACATTACACAGTGCTAACACCAAGTGTGTTTATCCTAATAGGTTGGACTTGATGGACTAATGTCTTTATTCAACCTCAAATACTATGTAACTATGTATACCATTGGGTAACACAAATAAAAGATGGAGAGCTAAGCCTGCATGGGTAAATAAAGCTGTAAAACATCACATCAAACACAAAAAAGCTGGCATTTAAAAATGATAAGATGGAGGGGACTGCATTGGAATTCCAGAGCTACAAGGAATGTAATAAGAAATGTAAACATGAAATCCGAGCTGATAAAATAGATTACAAAAAGCATATAGCCACAGTCAGTAAAAAACTCCCCCACAAATTCTACCAATATATAAACAGTAAAAAATTAAGCAAAGAGCAGGTCAGCCCAATAAAAGATGAGAATGGAAGATTGATCACAAACAACAGGGAGAAGGCTGAGGTATTAAAATAATTTTTCTCCTCAGTATACACTCTAAAAAAGACGGGTTTAATGGGGAGAAGTATGCGAGTAGCTCAATGCTTAAAATAGCGCAGTGGTTGACAGTAACCGGGGTTCAACAGAGACTTGTAAAACTTAATGCAAATAAATCAATGGGACCGGATAACCTGCACCCCAGGGTACTGAAAGAGCTCGGCCATGTTATAGCGAGACCGTTATTCCTCATTTTCAATGACTCATTAATGAGTGGAAGGGTACCAAGTGACTGGTGTTAAGCAAAGGTAGTACAAATATTCAAAAAAGGCTCAAGATGCTAACCTGGGAACTACAGACCAGTCAGTCTAACATCAATAGTATGCAAACTGTTTAAAGGAATGATAAAGGACTATTTAGTGGATTTTGTTTGTGACAAAAGGTATAATAAGTGATAATCAACATGGATTTATGAAGGACCCTTCTTGTCAGATCAACCTACTAACATTTTATGAAGAGGTAAGTAAAGATCTGGATGGAGGGAGGCCGGTGGATGTGGAATATCTGGATTTTGCAAAAGCATTTGATACGATACCACACAAACGCTTAATACACAAGCTGAGATCTATGGGCATAGATGACATGGTGTGTACATGGATAGAGAACTGGTTACAGGATCGTGTCCAGAGAGTATTGATAAATTGCTCTTTTTCACAATGGGCTACAGTAATGAGTGGCGTGCCCCAGGGTTCTGTGCTAGGCCCAATACTGTTTAACCTGTTTATTAATGATATTGGGGAAGGTGTTAATAGCAATGTATCTGTGTTTGCAGATGATATTAAAATTGGGGGGGGGGGGGGTAATAGACACAGGATTAAACATAACGGGAGGATCTGAATAAAATAGGTGATTTGGCAACTATGTGGCAGATGAGGTTTAATGTTGTAAAATGTAAAGTAATGCATTTTGGGGTTAAAAACAGGCGAGCGGAATACACATTAATGGGTACTCCACTAAGGAAGTCAGAAATGGAAAAAAAATTGGGGGTCATAGTTGGCAGCAGAGTGCATAACAGCACGCAATGCCAGGCTGCAGCAAAAAAAGCTAGCAGAGTACTGTCATGCATTAAAAAGGGAATGTTTTGTAGAGATAAAGCAATAATTTTGCCACTTAATAGATCACTGGTTCGGCCTCATCTTGAGTATGCAGTTCAGTTTTGGTCACCTATCCACAGAAAGGATGTCCTTGAACTAGTGAGAGTCCAGAGAAGGGCAACTAAACTAATTAAGGGGCTGGAGGATCAAAGCTATGAGACAAGGTTACTAGATTTAGACTTGTTCACACTGGAAGTGAGGAGATTAAGAGGGGACATGATTTTAAAGTACAAAATATTTGGCGGTGAAGGCAACATCAGCAATAAACTTTTTACTCCAAACTCCCTAACATGGACTAGAGGCCACCACCTAAAATTGGTAGGGAAAAGATTTAACCACAAAGGGCGTAGGGGCTTCTTCTCAGTCAGAGAGGTTACATTTTGGAACTCTCTGCCACAAGCAGTGGTATCAGCAGAGGTTATTGAATCATTCAAAAATCAATTAGATACCTTCCTCAGAGACCATAACATACAGGGGTACAGGTACTCTTAAAACCTTAGACTCCAATAGACTCATATACACACCACACACACACACACACACACACACACACACAAAGGTTAAACTTGATGGACGTGTCTTTATTCAACCTCAAATACTATGTAACTATGAACATGTGTAGCTCCCTTCCCCAGGAGGTAGTCTTAGCTAAAAGTTTAGCTATTAAAAAACAAACAAACAACAACACTTTCTCAGTCAGCATACTATACAGGGCTATGGGAATTTTTAGATTTGATAGGTGGTTGATCCAGACATTTATCTAATCACCAGTATGGGGTCAGGAAGGATTTTACTAATTTTAAATTAGCATATGCTTTGTAGTTTGCTTTTTTTTTTGCCTTCCTCCGACTCAAACACATAAAACACACACATATACACACAAACACACATGTTGAGCTTGATGGACCTGAGTCTTTTTTTCAACCATATTTACCATGTACCTATATGTAACTATAAGAAGGGGGAGGGGTTATACTGGCTAACAGTTTTGTTGTTGCCAGTGTCCAATTCTCCTGTAGTTGAAGTATAACCCATACATCTCAAAATGTATTCTGACCCTGTGTCCCTTAATGATCAAGGAATGTGTCAAAGAAACAAACTGTAGGTTGCTGCAGGGTGTTTTGTGATCACAGAGAACTACCAAATACTAAACCTTTCAATCATATTAGAGAAAGAATGCCTGTTTAAGGCCTGCATAAATCAAAAATATGAACAGAAAAAAAAGTTAAATTTCTTTCTTTTTACCAGTTTGCGAAGTCTTTTCATCCTCTCACTAGAATTTTCCAGGCGATTGGCTTCTATAAACTCATTATACTTGTCTGTAAAAATAACAGGCATCAGAGCATAAATGTACATCCAACAAGCTGGAATAACATGCAGGGACCATCATTTCAGACATGACTTTTAATTAACATCTAGCAGACCGCCAAGCCACCTCTATCATTTAAAAGAAAAGTGTAATGTATTTTCAGTGGCAGTATATTTGGAGTGATAATTGCACTGTTTAACTAAAAGGTAATTGTTCATGTGACTCACATATTTACAACCTTGGGCCACCACACTTTGGTTACTGTATTAAATATGAGATTAGTAGATTCACCATTAGAGGGAGATTTGTAAATAAAGTTCCCTAACTTACTCTCACTGCTTATTTACTTTGCCAGGTGGTCAGCTAAATTATAAAGGCACTACCCTGGAAAACAGCTTTATACTTACCTGTCCATTGGCCCATTTGCTAAAACTGTATTCGGTAGTAGAGCTTTTTATGCTTTCAGGTATGTGGAAGAGTGAGTTCCCTGCTGGCTGTTGTGGTTCCTTCCAACAAACCTTATGTCAATATTGTATCCTGCAGTGACTAGGGTTCAGCAGGAGGAACCATGGTGCCCAGAGGGATATACACCAGCCTGAGGAGTCAAATAGGATATTACTGGGAGCAGCGTTTCAGAATTAAGTTTTAGCAAACAAGCTGATGGAAAGGCAACCATAAAGTTGTGTTATTTACAGGGTAGTATGATTGTACCTTTGGCAACCATCTGACAGGGTCACTAATGGCTGTACTGTGTGGGTGATATGTTACCTGAACTGCATGATTTACAGTGGGATGGCTGACAGAAAGGTTCTGTGAGAATAAACAGTCAAACACAACCACTGTCTCAAATTGAAAAATAAAACATGTAAAAATCAATATTATAAATCAATTAAATATCAATAAATGCATAATATCCATAACACATATATAATATACACCAAATCAGTTCTAACATTATGACCACTGCAAGGTGAAGTGAATAATATTGATTATCTTGTTACAACAGCACCTGGAAGTGTGAGGAATATATTAGGCACAAGTGAACATTTTCTCCCTGAAGTTGATGTGTTGGAAGCAGAAAAAAATGGGCAATCGCAAGGATTTGATTGACTTTGACAAGGGCCAAATTGTGATGGCTAGACAACTAAGTCAGCGCAACTCCAAAACTGCAACTCTTGCGGGATGTTTCTGGTCTGCAGTGGTCCGGACCTCCTAAAAGCGGTCCAAGGAAGGAAAACAGGGTCATGGGTGGCGAAGGCTGGCCCATGTAGTCTAATACAATAGAAGAAATACTGAAGCTCAAATTTCTGAAAATTCCTGATTAGCCGGGAAGCAGTCTCCATGCTCCCTTATCACCAGGTGACGAGGAAGCATGGCGCTGGCTTTCTGGCCAATCAAGAAGCCGGGCAGTGGGTAATGATGCGCCGCCTAGCTTCCTGATTGGCCAGCTTCCCCACCGATCAGGAAGCTGGCCGGAGAGTCATTACATGGTGCCCGGCTTCCTGATTGGCTGGGAAGTTGAATCCATGCTACCTCGTTACCAGATGACAAGAGAGCATGGAGCCGGCTTCCCGGCCAATCAGGAAGCCGGGAGGTGAGTCATTACCCACTTCCCGGCTTCCTGATTGGCCGGGAAGGCAGCTCTATGCTCCCTGGGGACGAGGGAGCATGGAGCTGGCTTCCCTGCCAATAAGGAAGCCGGGCAGCGTGTAATGGCTTGCCGCCCGGCTTCCTGATACTGGAAGTTTCGGTAACAGGATAGGCATCTGGAGCATTTGGGGGAGTACAGGTACTCGCCCAAATACTTGGTATGGGGACCGACACTAGTATTAGTATTGTTGCATACCTAGTTAATATTTTAGGTTATAACTAAAAAAAGTTATGTTTTTATTAATACTTAGGTTATAGTGACACTAAACTCAGGAGTTAAAGCTTATAAATGCATTCAAGTACCTTAACTAATAACACAAATGCAGCGAATATGTCACTCGATGGTAAATCCTCAAATCATCTCTGAATTTGTGCAGAGAGTGTCTTTCCTTCTAGAGGGTGGCTACTATTCTTCCCCATGGTCCCTGTTTCCCCATGGTTGTAAAGTAGCCACTGCTCCAAGCTCGCTGCCATGATGGACTACAATCTCATGTTTAGTAGGCATGCACCGATACCGATACTAGTATCAGTGCTTCCTAATTAGTTTGGTTGCCCTCCGCTGGACTCTTTCAAGCTCAAGGACGTCCTTTCTGTGGACTGGTGACAAAAACTGGACCGCATAGTCCAGATGAGGCTGAACCAGTGATCTATAAAGTGGCACAATTATGGACTTGTCTCTGCAATAAATCCCCTTCTTAAGACAGGACTCTACTTGTTTTGTTTACAGCAGTCTGGCACTGCAAGCTACCATTCAGTTTGTGGTCTACAATGGCCCCCAAATCTTTTTCTTTTTCTGACTTCCCTAGTGGCATACCCATGATTGTATAGCCCGTTTGCTTATTTTTAATCCCAAAGTGCATTACTTTGCATTTATCGACATTAAACCTCATCTGCCATATATTAGCCCACTCCCCTATTTTATCCAGGTCCTCCTGTAATGTTAAACTGTCTAGGTCCGGGGGCGTGGCTTGCCAATGGCGACGTAGGACGTGACTCCTTGGAGCTCTGCATCTCCCGGCACCGGCCTAAGCTCTAGTGGACGTTATTCTCCCCCTCTTTGGATGTCTCGGGTGCCGGGGAGTCAGCTGTGCCTCCGGAGTTCCCGTCAGTCGGACTTGGCTGAGTTCTTCGCCCCCGCGGGCACCACGAGCCGACCGGAGGACACGCGACACATGGCGTCTACCCGCTCCATGGCCGCATGCCCCACTCCGTCCAAGACCCGGAGATCCCGCAATCGGGCCAGCCAGAGGCCTGTCCCAGGCCCGGAGTGAGGCTTGATGATCCCGTCTGCAGGAGTTTGCATTGATGCCTCAGGTTTTGTATGCATTCCCCCATGTCACGGCTGATGTTTGCACTGTCTAAGTCAGCATTGAGGTTCGGACAGTTGAACTAAGTGGGGGGCCCCCCCTGGGTGCTACGTCTGACCACAGAGTGACTATTGTTGCCCTTCACCAGTTTATGGGGTTTTTGGGCCTAGGGGTGGAACCCTTCTCAGCATCGTGATTTCGATATCGGAGAGTTATGTTCACAGATTCATAGTTATGTTGTTTCTATTTACTTAGCTAGCCGGTTGTATACTGTATACGGGGTGGCGGACTGCTCATGGGGGGGTTAAGAGCGGCCAGCAGCAGAGCCCTCTAGGGGTCGCTGTGCGGCGGCACTCTCTCCCAATATGGGTCCTCCGACTTCCTGCCTGGGAGGGGTGAGACATGTTTCTGGTGTGCTCATACTATGTTAATCTGCTTATATCCAATATGCTAGGTTGAGGTGCCGTTCTGATGCATCTTCCACACTGCTATTGTTTTCAACCACTGTTTGTTGATAACTTCACCCCCATAGGTTGCACGCTCACACCCTATCCGTACAGGGATGGGCGTGACTCACAATAAGGTTTTAGCTGACCTGTAGTCAGTGTCAGCTTCTTCTTCTTTTTGCTTTTTTCCTACTTTCTCTTTTCTAGATCATCTGCATCCTCTTTTCTTACCTTGCCTTGACTGCTTTCTTTCCCCCTACCCCTGCTCCATCCTTTCCCTCTACCCCACTCTCCCCCTCCTGCCTCCCCCTGGGCCTCCTACGGGGCGGTGGAGTAATATGGCACCTCTCTCGTTATACTCCCCGAATGCCTGGGGGTTGAACATTCCCGAAAAAAGATCGAGGCTACCTTTCTGACCTGCGCTGAGCCGGAGCCCAGGTGGCTTTTATACAGGAAACCCATTTTAAAATAGATGCGATCCCTAAATTGACGAATCAGGATTTTCCCGTGGTGTATCATGCGGTATCACCGCTCTCCAGGTCCAAAGGAGTGAGTATCCTGCTTTCCAAATCGGTGGCGTGGACAGGGGTTGATCAGTTGGTTGATGATGGGTCGGTTTCTGGTGGTTAAGGGACGTGTGGGTGATACCACGGTGACGCTGGCTAATGTGTATCTACCCAACACTGACCAGTTGCAGTTCTTGCGATCTTTTCTTCCCCGCTTGGAAGATTTCCAGGAGGGGACTCTGATCTTAGGCGGGAACTTCAACATGGTCATGGATCCCACAGTGGACACCTCCAGGGGTGCCTCTCACCTCTCCTTCTCCTACCTTCGGAAGCTTAAGTCAGCACCCCAACAACTGCATCTCATGGACGTGTGGCGTACCTTGTACCCGGAGGGGCGGGACTTCACTTACTATTCTACAGTCCATCAATCCTACTGCAGAATAGACTATTTTTTCATTCGGCATGGGGACCTAAATAGAGTTCTATCGACCTCTATAGACTCCCCGGTACTCTCGGATCACGCCCCGATTCAGTTGTGTGTGGATCTCCTTGCTCCCTCCTTGAGGTGTTCCTCCTGGAGGCTCAATGAGTCCCTATTACAAGACCCTGACATACACGCGGACCTGACGACTTCCTTGGCGACTTACTTCAGAGTGAATGCCACTGACCAAGCTGACCCTCTGTCTGTGTGGGAGGCACACAAGTGTGTCTTACGGGGTGTGCTGATTAAGCATGGAGCGAGAAAGAAGAGGGAGCTGAATGCCCAAATTGAGACCTTGATGTGCCGCCTGTGCAGACTGGAGGCGCTACACAAAAAGTAGCTGGCAGTGGCGGCCTACCGGGAACTTGTTCGGGTCTGTGAGGAGCTTAATGCTCTCCTGTTTGTCCAGGTGAAGAGACGGGCTATGTGGGGACGGAGATACTTCTATGAATATGCTAACAAACCGAGTAGGTACTTAGCCGGGGCTTTAAGGGGCTCGAAAGGTAAAACCTTCATATCACACTTGATGTCGTCAGGGCTCCCGCCTCACTTTATCCCAGGACATGGCAGAGGAGTTCTGTGATTTCTACCATAAACTCTACAACCTTGAACCGGACCCC